CCTGCCGCCCCTACCCGCGGCCCGCCTCGCCGCCCCCCCTCCCCCACGACACCCTGCAGGCCGTCGGCGGCGTCCCCGCCGTGGCCCAGCTCTCCCTGCCCGCCCTGTGAGTACCGCGGCCGGGGGCGGGGGGGCGGCCTGCGGGGTTCTCCCTTCCCCGGGTGCCAGGCAAAATGCCGAACTCGGTTGCCCCTTTGCTGCTTTCCCGTCGAAGGGAGGTGCAGTGGCTTAGTAGGAAGCAGGTAAAGGTAAGGGACCCAGAGGGCTGCCTCATTTTTGAGCGTGTTTTGGCCAAACCCTCTTCGCAGTCACCTTCCCAGCAGAATAACCAGCTTTAGAAGCAGCCAAAGCTCAAAACTGGTTAGGTAAGTGGCAGCTGAAAGGAAAGATTAACATCATAAAGCTCGTTAGAAGCTCTCCCCTCCCCGGCTCGTGTAGTTGTTGAGCGATGCGCCTTCGCAACGCTACCCAGAAAGCCCCAGTGCGACTTCACGCTCTCCAGCAAGTCAGTGGTCGCTGGTCGGTGCGGGTAAAAGCTCTGCCTTTTTGCCACAGAATGATGAGCGCCCCGGTTTGTAAGCTGTGATTCTTGAGCTCTGTGTCTCTGGCGTTTAGTTCCGTCTGTCCCCTGCTTTGCAGCCTGGTAGCTGGATGGCAACTGTAAGTCCCTAAAACCAGTCTGAATTTAGACAATGCATGAGTATGGAAACAGAAGCCTTAGTTATGAAACCACTGATCTTTCTTGACAGTTGTTTGCTTCGTTAACGTGTTTCTGTATCTGGATGCAGGGCAGAACTTCATGATGTCCTGGAAGAATATAAAGAAGGAGCTGCAAAATTTATAGGTAAAGTGTGTGTGTTTGCTTGTATGTCTGGAGAGATATTGCAGGTGGATCCCACTGGTGCATTTTTAGGCAGTACAGCAGGCAGAAAGATGTAGGCGTAGGCTTTCCACGTTTACGCATTTTCTCACTCAAAGCAGCACTAAGGAAGACTTGAAATAGTATGTTGTCACTAGTATGGCCAGAAGTCCTTCAAACAGGCTATAAAAATACGTAGTATTGCTTTATTTCTCTTTTTCCGCACCCAGCCTTCTCCTTGGGGGCTTCAGCACTGACTGGGATGGGCTTAGCCCAGAAGTTGCGACTAAAACTGAGAGGTGTTACTGTAGCCCCCAGTCACTGCTGCAAATGAATCTTGCCAGATGCAATTTCTGACTTCTTTTGACGAGGAGAATTAGAAATTCTCATGAAAATTGCCTTCCCCGTACAGCTGTTCAAATATATTTCCTGAGAGTATCTATCTGCTCAAGCTGGCTTTTTTGATTCTCATAAAATAGTTGGTTTCCTCTAAAGATTTCCAACAGGAAATCTTCATTCAGTATGAGGAATAAACAGGCAAAGCACCCCGCAACAAGTCAGTCTCATGTGGTGGACACTTCTGCCTCCAAGCTATTCCTGTTCTGAGAATATGTTAGGGGAAGGACCCACGTTGGATTTGTGGGAGCTTTGAGGAGCTAAAGAAGCAGGTGGAGAAGCTCATTTTTTCTGTGTTCTTTGTTCCTGTCAGTTTAGTAGTCAGACTGACTTGCTCCCTGTATTCTCCTTCCATATTTCCATGTTAAAGAGTCAGTTTTAGGAATAAACTCAATTTTACTTAAGGATAGTAAAATGCAAAGCAGGCAATGTTGCCGTAGCCCTCAGCTACTGCACCAAGCCTTTGTGATCTTATCAGTCGCTGTACGCCATTCCTGGAGCAGTTCCTGAATGAAACCTTTACCTTAACATCTTGGTGACAAGAATGAGTAAAGCAGCAGTTCCTGTGTTTGTGACTATCCTGGGTTTTATTTCTGGTTGTCCTAACAGATCAGTAAAGGCCTGACTGCATGTGTTATGCAGCCAGGATCACTGTTGTCAGGCTCAGGTGGCGAAGGACCCTGAATGCACAGTGAATGCAGGGTTAGCATCTTATGTGAATGTCTGTATTGTAGCTCGTATGTATATCTGTATGTTTTTGGTTTGTTTTTGTTTTTTTTTTTTTTTAAAAAACACATCAAAATTTTGGACATGCATTTCGGTACCTAAGCAGTTATGGCTTGGATTTCCAAAGGAAGTTTGCCCCTAATTTTCAGTAAACTTCCACTGCTTGGGGACAACTTATTCCTTCAAGAAAAAAAAAAGAAAATCTCTTTATCTGAAACTTCTTGGAGGCTTCACCAATTTCAGAGACTATCTGTGAAGAGAAACCTGTATGTCACTGAGGCATACTGTCTAGCTTTCTGACATACAAAACCTCCAATCTGGCAGTGATGGTGAGTTTCTCATTTGTGTAGCTGATCTGTTTTCTCACTATACGTTGTCCTTCCTTAAGAGTTTTAGGCTTGAGGTTGTTGCTCAGTTTAGGTTGTGTCAAGTGTATCAGCTGAGTGGTCAAGTGAGTCAGCTGTTGGGTCTGGCAAATTTTAGTAGCAGGAGAATTAATCAAGAAGAAACATAAATAAATCTCAAAGGAGCTATGTAGGCTGCAGAACCAAAGGGTATTATTTGATGGTTTGTCCTGATGCTGCACTCTCCTCTCTGCAGCTAGTAAAGCTGGGGAAAAAGTCTGCCGCCTTTGGCGCTGAGAGATCAAATAAACGATATTTTCTCTGTCAGAATGGGTGTACTTGTGTGGGGGAGAATACTCTGTTCCCTTTTGCAAATTTACAAACCACATCTTTGCATTGGCTTTGTTTTGGTTCATGAAACTCTACTCTGTGCCTGCCGCTCTGTTCCCAGGTATGCCAGATGCTGTGCTGTACTGCTCCCTTCATGACCCGGTCGCTCCCCGTCCATCTGGCTACAACACTAACAAGGTACAGTAACTGTAAAGACTTGAAAGGGTCCACTTAAAGCTCCCAAAAGAAAGCTGCCAGTCCTCCTCTCATCTGTGTGGGTGTGCTTATTATACAGCCACAAGATTTTTTTTTTTATGCTTTATAGAAAAATAAATCTTTGCACAGAGGAATGTCATTTACATGGTCATACCTCCAGCTAAATAAAGCTGGATGCTTTCTTACTTGACAGTGTGTTCGCTGAACAGTTAAGTGGAAATTCAGATAGAATGAGCAGCTCTGGACTCCAACGCTGTTGTGGTTAATGTGGTAGTAAAAGAAAACACGTGTGGTTTAGCTTATATGCTGTACAAGCTTACGGTGATGCCACTGATAAGCAATAAACCTGAACACCTATGCGTGTATTTACAGTCTGCTACAGGCCCACAAAGGGGAAGAACTTAGTATTTCTGCAGGAGAGTGGCTCAGCAATCCAGGAGTGCTTAGTGTTGCGGATGCTTTCCCGTTCCATCCCACAGGCACGCACGTTCTCCGTGCAATCCACGCGCTATCTGCTGCCAGCCACAGCTTTGGCCTGGAGGGGCCGCTCCTGGCACCTGCTCAGATGTGGTCGCCCCAAGGCCTCTTTGGGTACGGTCACACTTAGGGAAAGGTCACTGAATGACAGAGGATAACTGCTGCCATCCAGCTATTGGTCTGTGTTCTTTGCTGCTGGGAACAGGCCGAGTCCTGTCTCTTTGCAGGGGAGGAATTACCTGAAGCTTGTCTCACCCGTTGTGCAGTTATGAGGTGATAGCAATGATCTAAGCCTCGGTGTGGCAGCTTGGATTCCACTTTTAATTTTTTTTTTTAATTAAGCTGGTGAAGATTTTTTTGTCGCCAGGCCTTCTGCAGCTGGATCTGTGCTGACAAATACTTACGAAAGCTTCGTGAAAGCAATGAGACAGAAAGCTCTGGATTCTGGGACAGAAAGTGTGGCACGGGCTGGATTTAAATAATTGTGGGGTAACATGCCGTTCTCTAAGCTGCATGGCTATTTTATTTATTAAAACAGCTTTTTTTTCCTCTGGAGAGCAGAATGAAGGTAACTAGACTTGATTATGCTCTCTGCTCTTTGGCTCAAACAGTTCTGACTTTCCTCCACGTGCCTTCACCAGCTGTTCCTTGATGCTCTCGCGTAAGAGGCAGCAGGTCCTAACTGGCCAACGTGCTGCTGCAGAACAACATCATCATCATCATCATCATAATAACAGAATAACTGCTGCATTCTGCAGTTATTCTGCAGGTATTCATTTGGGATCTCCCTCCTTTGGAGTTGCCTTTTTTTTTTTTTAATGGGAAATTTACAACAATGTTATTACTCTGGAGACTTCTGTCTGTTTCTTTGTTACTCAAATTTAGTGAAATTGGCTGATGAGGCTAAAGCAGTCAGGAGGGATGGATGGACGGACGGACAACAGATATGTAGTCTATTTGCGCAATCATCCTTTTGTTTTTTGTAGAGACCAGACAAAAAAAAAGTTTCACTCATATTTTTTGCATCAGCTGCTCAAATTCAATTTATGAATTAGTATTCATGAGAACTGCACTGCTTAATCTGTCTGTCTGGCATAGGCTAGGAGAATGTGTTTAAACCCTCAAGCCCCCAGAAGTCCCCACAACACTTCAAGCTATAAGCTGTTTCTGATAGCTGAAAACTATTCCTCATTTAAAAAAGCACTAATGGAGCTGCAGATGAAAAGAACTAACTTCTGAAGGGCTCGAGCCCAATATTTAACCTACTTGAATACCCCTTTAAAATTTTGGAGCAGCAGTGTCAGAAGTCTAACAATAATACAACAAAAGCAACTGCCAAGCTGCACTCACAGGTTAATTACGGATTCTGCAGAATAGGATGAAGCTTGCTGGCCTGCATAGTTGTGGTGGCTGCGCTAACATTTGGTGAATCTGAAGGTTTAGCGCATTGAACTGTGACATCTGCTAGCCCAGAGGTGTTCGGGTAACATAACCTCTCTGTGCAGGTGCTTTTGTCTTGCTTTAAAATCTCTTGAGGGTAGCACGGAGTAACGATGGAAGATGGGAGCCCATGTGCGCACACAGAATGGAAAGTGTGTGAAGAGGCTGAGAAGACTGCGTGTGAAATCTTCATGAGTCCCCGCCATTTCTTACGTTGGCTAGGTTTGAAAGCTGTGTATTACTTTTGCACTTGGTATTTCAATCCCTTCTTAAGTGGCTGGACTTGGGACCTAAAATAGCATTGGATTCTAGGATTAAATTGCCTAACAACCTTTTGTATTCTTCACAGTGTGTCTGTGTGGTTTATATAGACACGTATATTTGCGTGGGTGGTATGAATTCACTGCTTGGAAGAGGAAATGCTTTCTTGGTTTTGCATTGTGTACAGAAAAGTAGTGAGCTGTATATCCCATTGCAGCCTTTGCTGCTTTTCCTGAGATGACAACATAAGTCTGATGGGAAATAAATATTTTCTTCTTTTTAATTTTTTTTTCCCCAATTCTGCCACTAATTTGTGTGATGATAGGCCAGGTGCTCCAAGAGAGTCCAGAGACTTCCAAACATGTGGAGAAGTCTCTGTGTTGAGTGTGATGGTTTCACCAAAGAGTATCCCAGAAATCCCAGTTCAGTCATTTATCTCCTTTCACTCATTGTGCCAAGTGCAGATGATGAACTGAGCCATGCTCCTGGAGAACTTACCTATGTTCCAGTGTCTGGTATTTCACCAGACCAATTCCTTCTCTTCTTTGACCCTTAAGATCTGTTAACCTTTGCAACTAATATTCATCCCTGTTCTTCCTTGACAGACAGTGTCCCTGTGGGGAAACTCGGGACGCATGGAAATGACAGCTTCCAAGTTCATGGACATACAGCGGGCCATCCAGCCAGACTGGTTCCAGTGCATCTCTGATGGAGACACCATTTCTGGGGAAGCTGGTAGAAAAAGGGCCAAGAAGTCTGTGGATAGGTCACTTTCCTTCCTGGATGTATGCCTTCAGCTGCTAGAAAAATCACCGGTAAGGTCCCCAAAATATTGGGGCAATACCACCACAGCTGCTTTTTGGTCTGTGCTGCATCCTGGGCCAGTCCCAGGATGTGATTTAGTAGGAAATAGTGTCGTGTATCAGAGAACGCCCAGGTGACAGTCCTGGATAAGGTATAATCAGTAGCACGGTGGGTTTTCCTTCTGCCACTCTCTTTTTTTAATAACTTGCCTCCTGCACCAGGATACCCGTCTCTACTAGTTGAGGAGTTTCAATTTTTTTTCCACTTTTGGACTGTCGTGCATTGCTTTCACTTACCTTCATGCTATATATGTGGGCAAAGTAGGATCTTCTCGTTCAGATTGAGAAAACCCATCTTTTTGCTCTGAAGTCCCCTCAGTTCCAAGTGAGGGAGGACTTGCTAGAATTTGCCAGTGCTATTCTTTTATTTCTTCCAGCCGCTTTGAAACTTCCCTCCCTTTTGGTGAAAGGTGACGTACTATCTGAGTCTGTGCTACAAAGGAAAATGGGTGACAGTAGCTGATATTGGTACCCCCGTAAGACAATTTATTGTGAGATCTGGTGGCTGACAGCCAGGATAATGGCACCTTGCTTTCTATTCTGCACTGACACATGTGGTGCTGAGGGGCCATCTATAAAAAGCCGTGTACAAAGATGATCTGTGGTTATTGCCTTCTATAGGGAGGTGGGAAGAATGGCACCAAAATTCTCAGTGAGTTAGTGTTAAGGTGAGGAGCAGAATCTTGTCTCTCCTAATCCCGTTTCTACCTTACACTTGGACTTCACAGTGTTGTGTGGGGAATAGTCCTACGTGGGATGAAACACTGTGGCTCTGGCAAGTTCCTGGGAATGCAGGGCTTAAGTAGCAGGCATCTGGAATCCGGGCTGTGAGATGTCTTGCGTGTCTTTGGCAGAGCACGCTCTAACACTTGCAGCTTTCTTCTGGGCCAGGAACTACAAGGAACTGTAATGTTTGGGGCAATTGAAGGTGGAGATATCTTGGAAGAGAGGCTCAGATCAGCCAGGGAGACTGCCAAGCGACCTGTGGGTGGCTTTCTGCTAGATGGCTTCCAGGGATGTGCCATGGCCAAGGAGACCAAGTTGAAACTGATAGCTTCTGTCACAGCAGAGCTGCCAGAGGATAAACCAAGGTAAGTTGTGTGGGCAACATCCCAAGAAGTCCATCTGTGCTATTATGAGGAGCGTCTACAGGCTGCTGTGCAATATCACTGTAGGAAATAATCACTGTATTGCACAGCTCTGTGTGTATGCCAGGCTGCGTAAATTCTGCCACTGTCAGGCTGCAATCTTCAACCTGTGTTTCAGTTTTTAGCTGCAGCTGGCACCAGGCTGTGCTCACGCTGTGGGTTTGAGTATTCCCCACATTTGGAGAACAATCAAGATTTTAGTTCAAGTTGTCTTTACTTTTTTTTAGGAAGAATTATAGGTAGGATATGTCTGGGCTGCTTGTGTTTGGCCCCTGAGGCCATGGTTTACTTGCAGTTCAGCTTGAACAACAACATTATTATCAACCTATTTTACAGGAACCTATTTTACAGGGACCTCTTCTTAGAAAAGCTGTCATGTTTCCAGTTTTCTCTGGTCTGAACTGGAGGAGAGCAGAGAAGGGCGCTGACAGAACCAGCCAGTGCTTACACAGTCTTACAGCAGCCAGCTCTGACCTGGTACCGGAGGCACTGAGCCTGTGGACTACCGGAGGTGGTGCAGCCTGGCCCAAAACAGTTGTATTCTCTGCGTGGACTGGCATAGTGTGGGGATCGTTGTGTATTCTGAGTTGTTAGTTATGCCCATCAGATCCATGCCAGAGACTGGACAGGAGTGGCAGCATTCTTGACTCTTATAAATGACTAACAGTAACTAAAGACTTCCGTAAAATGTGTGCTAATATTTGCTAGTGGTTCAGAAGTGGAGGGGTTTCTTTGAAAGCATTGGGTTGAGCTTGCTGGCTTTTGCATGGGTTGCTCTTACAAGACCAGCTGCAACAGAAGTAGTATGGGTGCTTTTTTCATCGGTTCCTGAAGAGAGTGACTCAGACCCTGTTGTCTTTCTGTAGCTGTGCTGCCCTCTGCTAGCTGAGCATTGCTCTGACCTAATGGTGTTCAAAAGGACATTAAATGCGAAAGCATATGTCTGGTGTTGCAGCTTGTTCGTGCTTAGCGGTGCCTGGGGTTTGAATTTTCCTGACAATTAGAAGGCTTGCTGTGTTGTTGCCATCCTGTCTGGTTGAGCTACTTAAAAAGATCCCCTGGGAGCATTAAAGTCCAATCTGCTCAGCTAACCTTAGTGGCTACCAGTGCATCTGCCTCATCTATCAAATAGTTTGCTTGTCTGGTTAAGACAAGTGTTTCTGCCCTCTTCGTAGGAAGAAAGCTGGTTAGCCCTAGGGGATCTTGTAAGTTCCTCAAGTGAATTTCAGACAGTCCTGCTTTCCTGAATCACCCTTGCCATTCCGGCTGGAGGAGTTGTTCTGCAGCTGTGTTCTACCCCAATGTGAAAGTCCCTAGAAGACAAACACTTTCTGTGCTTCACCCAAGAAGTGACCGCTTCTTGTGTGATGGTGAAACGATCTTTTGAATGTACTCTTTAGGGTCCTTTCATGTACCTAAAGGTGCTGAAGTCGCTTGGTAAAACTTATTTTCCTTTTCAATAGCATCAGAACCCTTGCAAGAACAAACGTTTGTCTTTACCTGTGCAAAGATAAGTTTTAGAAAGGGTTTTGAGCAGAGCTACTGTTTTAACTATTGAGCATCATTTTCTCCCTGCTGTGAGAGCCTGAAACATAAGACAGTCATGCTGTAAACTTCTCCCATCCTTATTCTGTGCTCATCAATTTAATTGGAGTACTTAGAAAAGCAACTAAAAATGGCACCTTGTGACTTCATTTATCAGCCCCTGTGTATTTTCCTAATTATCTGTTTAGATCATTGCCCTACATTAGCTTTGACTGCTGTCAGCCCAGCCCTGCACCTGCAGGAGAGCAGGCACCGCTCTATTCTCTTCTGCTTCACCCACCCTTAGGGAAGCTGCCAGCTAAATTTGGCTAACAGCAGCATCTCTGTTGATGGCAATCCAGCTGGGCTCTGCCTGGCTCTTAATGCCATGTCCCAGGAGATGTTACAGCCCAGGTTTTTGGGTGAATCATTTGAGCAGGTAGAGTGTAAAGAGGAGGGAAGAATAAAGCAAGGAACTTTTCTCTTTCCAGTGAAATTCCTCATTAGTGCATTTTCCTCCAGGCAGTTCTCCAAGTGCTGTATGATGTGTCTGTCACCTGAAGGACTTGTATCTTTGACCAGCCATCTACTGCTGACTCTGCTGCTCTCGATCAAATCTTTTTAGACTGTCTCCTAAACAGTTACTGAGCAAAGGGGTCCATGTGTCTGGAAGCGGGTAGTTCCCTGGGGCACAAACACAACTAAGGAAAACAACTGTTCTATCACATAGATGTTAGGTGAATTTTGAATCTGAATGTATTTATGTGTGTGAAAGAAACCAAATGACTTCAAACAGCCTGAACAGAATGAGGTTTTTTCTGCAGTAAATGGGGGATTATTGCTGTCTTCCAAATGGCAGATAAAGAAAAGCTTGCCGTGCCCTGGGCGGGTTGGAGGTGGGGAAATGGAAGCACACAGGATTCTGAGTGATGACTGTTGTACCCACTTGCCTGCTGGTTAGCAGTTGCAGGGATAAGCTACACGTGCTGCCCAAGTGTCTTTTCCGTCAAATACCTGCTTGCTTCTACTCAGAATATTCTAGATTTGTCATCTTATGCATCTCTTACAGAATCATTCATGGTGTCGGCAAACCAGATGAGGTGCTTGAGTGCATTGAAAGGGGAGTGGACATTTTTGAGAGCTTCTTTCCCTTCCAAGTGACAGAGCGAGGCTGTGCGTTGGTTTTCAGTTATGACTGCTATCCAGATCCTGAAGCAGCAGGTAGGCTTCTTGATGGCCATTATAATTTTTACTGTATCAGTCAGTATTGTGGCAAGCATAAGTCATGCTTTGGACAAATCTATATTTGAGTTTTTCGTTCCTGAAGTAAGTGTGGTAACCACTGGAAAAACACTGTCAAGTGATGCTTTTGAAGGTGGGGTATTTTGGTGTGAAACCTGTTGAGGCAAACTTGAGGCCTCAACCTAGGATCTGACTGATGAGCCAAAGTATGCTCAAGTATTTCTTAAATGTTTACTGAATAGAGGAGGTTTTCTTCGACACCACTGGCAAATTTTCTGTTACTGTTAGCAGTGAAGGCTGGACCTATTAAGTGGAGATCTAAGATACTTGATCTCTAAATTAACTGAATATATGTCTGTTTTAATAATATATTTTTGAAGTCCCTGCTTCTTTCTAGCTGACAAAAGATCCAGTTTCTTTGGGCAGGTTTCTTCTCTGCCCTTGCATTCATCGGTTCATATCAAAACAAAAAGGAGATGTTCATAACTCATTGCCTCGTTAAGCTGTGAGATGGGAGCATGTGTATCACTCATTAAAGCATCTATCAAATGTGTTTCAAGCAGCCGTTCTGTTTTGGCCTATTAAATGTTTTTAATACAGAAAAACACTTTACATTTTTCCTTCTGGGTAGAACATAGCAGCTTTTCATGCCTGGGTAATTCAAAACCAGCTGAATAGAACAGAACATCTTGTTTCTTTGTGCTTGCTGCTATTTTTTTAACCCTTCTCTGTGTTGTTCTTTACCTTGTCTCACCTTATTCTTAAATCATAAGATCCTGGGTAAGGACAATCTCTGTGTCTGTTTAACACTCAGTAGACATGGATTGTGCAAACAGTAATATTGATGTTTCCAGATACATCTCCTGCTTAAGAACAAACCTAAAAATGCAAACCTACAAAATGATGGGGTGATTTTTCATTTTTAAGATAGACTGCTGAAAAGGCAGGTGTGGAATCTACATCTTCTGCATTAGTGCTACCAGCCTCTTTTAATTCCAATTGGTTTGGTTTTGTTTTTTTTTTTAAAAAAAGGCATCTAAATCTCTGAGCCTGATGGCAGCATGGAAAGTAGAATGATTGAATGCAGATGAGTTGCCTGTCTACTCTAACAAAATCTCAATAAAATCAATTTGTTCAGGTGATTGCATTCTGTTCAGCATGCAGTTCAGACTGGAAATATTTTTGACATTTTATTAAGAATTCAGCTCAGTAGAGCAGCAAAAAGTTACACTGTTGTTTCAGCTCTAACTCTTCATTAGGTTTAGTAGATTAGTTTTCACTTGTCTCATGCTGTTTTAATCATCTAAAATTGTATGTGTGTTAACTAACCTATGACAATTAAAGAAAAACAGTTGTTGCTATAGGAAAGAGGTGGAAATTTGTGGCAGGAGTTTTCATCTGGCAAGGGAGTAGCAGAAATACTTACTGTAAGGTTGCTACCCTTCCTCTGCCCTTGCTCTCTGTTCATAAAAGGCTATTGTCTCTTTATTTAAAACAGCTTTAAACCAAAATGGGGCCCAGGACCTGGAGAAGAATGGTGCTGAAGATCAGGATGAAATCTGCAAAGCTGACCCAGAAATGACACCATTTGAGATATTTCTGAAGGACAAAAGGTATGTGAGTTTGTGAGGAGGGTCCCTGCAGCTGCATCGCTAACTATGATGCTTTTGTCCTCTGTACTTGATTGCACGTGGTCGGTGGCTGGATGGGAGGCTTCATAAAATGTGAAGGTGTTGAAGACAGTACTGCTGGACATGGAATGGAGAGTGTTGGACAAGCATTCTAGCTTGTTATCAGGCAACAGTGTGTGGCTGAAAGCGCTGTCTTTTGCCTGACCTGAAGCCAGGGATTTTCTGATCATTTATCCAGCAGACATACTGTGGTCATAACTATCTTCTAGCTGAAAGACAGTAGGTTCACAAAGGTTGTCTGGGGATCGTTTTGGTCTTCCGCATCTAACTTGGGTCATCTTGCGATGCTAGATTTTATTTAAACTATGGAGAGCTTCCACCTTCTGACTCAGTTTGGGCAGCTGCAGAGCAATTCTGCAATTTCTGGATACTTTGCAAAAACTTGGGCCAGTGTTACCACCTCTCCATCCTTCTCGTTTCCACAGCTACCGCCAGGCTGTCTGAGTAGACAACTGTGTTGCTTTGCTTGATCCTCTCTCCACTTTGGGAGAATGTTGCATCTCACAGCAGAGGGGAATGCTGTTTTGTGAATAGTGGAATCAGTAAATCCTTGTTTCTGATAGCTTCCTCCTTCATAGACTGGGTGATAGGTAACGAGGAGTGTTTTGCACTGCCGCTTTTCTGTCAGGGAAGGCACAGATAAGGCCTCTCTCTGCTGTTAGCTGTGATGTACTCCAAGTTATCCTCTGACTTAGATGTGTGGCCTTGTGGCTCTGTGGTGAGTTCTGGCATGATATTTGAAGTGCTTCGTGCCAGCGGTGCTGGTCTTAGATGTCAACACATCTTAGAGCAGCTGGATTCAGGCCCTCAGGGCTTCAAGGCTCAGCTCGCTGCAAAAAGCCATGTAGCAACTGAATACTCCTTATTGCTTGAATGGGTCTTCTTACCTTTGATGTTATCCAACGTTGCTTCCTCCTCAGATACCAAGATGATTTTGGTCCTTTGCTGGAAGGATGCAGCTGTTACTGTTGTCAGAGGCATACTCGCGCCTACGTCCATCACCTCCTCGTGACCAATGAGCTGTTGGCCGGCGTCCTGCTCATGATGCACAACTTCCAGCACTACTTCAGTTTCTTCAGTGCCATACGGGGTGCCTTAAGAGACGATAAACTGGATCAGCTGAAAAAGCTTGTCTTCAGGCAGGCGCTTCAAGGCTCAGCAAATGCGAAGCCAGGCCAGTGAGTTCAGAGTGGATAGAGGAGGTTGCAGGCTACGTCCTTATCCAGTGGGACGGTGTAAGGTGGACTGCCAGCGGGGTCACCTGGACCTGTTAGTAGTAAAATGCCTTCCTTCCTGGAGGGAATTGAAGGAGACATTTGAAGATCTTGCTTCCTGGTGGGGAAGGAAGATCTTACTCGAACGTCTCTTTTGGTTAATTGGCTTGGGGCATTCTTGGGGTATGGATCACAAGACCAGTATGGATAGCTTTGTTTTCAGTTACTCACTGTTGGTTTTCCATGTGGAAGGACAGAATTATTGCACTTGTGATTGAACAAGAAGTAGGGCATATATTTAAAACTAATCCAGCTGCTGACAGGAGGCTCAGCGGCTGTTTGGGACTCTCATTCCATACCCAATCCATATTACAGGTAATTATTTTTCTAGAAAATCCCAGTGGTGTGGTTGTCCAATCATGCAGCTCCTTGATGAGAGATCCCGCCTCAGTTTAACAGTGTTCCTTGTGGCCACTACCAGCATCTGTGTCCCTGAAAAGAACTGACTGGATGTGCTGCTGTGTTCAGTGGCACAAGGGACTGTATGTATGTGTACTCCTCTCTGGGGCCGCCTGCGGTGCAGAATGTTCTCTGGGCCAGGAGGAGGCCCTCCACGTCGGCCTGGCCTTGAAAACCCCTGCCTCAGGAGTCCTACTCTGTGACGTTAGAGCCAGAAAGAAGAGAAAGTGTTTAATCCGTGTCCTGCTCTAGAGGGGTTTTTTGACTCTGTACCCTTTCACCTGTATGGACTAAGATTTCACTCCCGCACTAGCATGTGGATGATAACGAACGTACCATTCTTTCCAGCTGTCCTAGCACTGGTCCAACAGCACGCTACGCAAATGTCGCTGTGAGATGGAGCGGTGTATTGCAGGAAAAGGCGTTCCGAAAAGATTCTTGTGGCTCCTTGTTTTAAAATATGACTTAGTTATGTCACATTCCTCTGATTCATTTTTTTTTAATGCGTCTTACTTTGGAATCCTGGATTTACTCATTTTATGTTACAAAGGAACAATAAAAAAATTTATTATTCATTATGCTGGCTCCTCAATGTGTGACAGAGGTGGTGTACCAGAGAGCTTGAGTGCAGTGCTCAAGAAGATGTCTCCTGGAAACTTGACCTAGCAGCCTGATGGAGGACAGGGACTCATCTAGGAGTAGGATCCTGTCACGGAGCAGGGGTCCAAATAATTTGCTTCAAAGGAAGCCATAATAGACCTGGAAGTGTTGAAGATGCCCACCAGTCCCTCTCCCCATAAGTACTCAACTACCTGAATTAAGCTTAAAAAAATACTACAGTTAAAGTTGCTGGCCTTAAAGCAAGTAAGGATTAATATGCAGTTTGCTTTTCACCATTTGCTTAATGTTTTAAGATTTTAATATCTTGCATCAGAATGACTTTGCCATAGAGTATAAGGGGTTTTCAGCTTCCCTGTCAGCATTGCCTGTATGTCCCTGTTTCCTTGGGCAGATACGCAATGGTGTCGGAGGCCTTTCTACCATTCCAGCCCTATCCGCTGCATTGCACTGTGTTTCTTTTCCACAGGATCGTAAAGAAATTGTGTGAAGACTGCTTTACTGTTGTCTTTAAGCAGAGATTAAGGGGAATAGTTCAGCCACAGAAACTAAATAAGATACAGGACTAATGTCCTCACTTGGAAAAGTACGTTTTGATGGTTAATGTCGATGCAGCACTGGGCAAGCTGGAGATGGTCTCCTGGGTACACAGCGTGAGGTAGAAGGGCCGACAGTTTCAGGATCCACCTGTCTTCAAGGGCAGGGAATTCTGATGGAACAAAAATCTTTTGTGCTTCTTTCAAGGGGAACGCAGGATGCGATGGCAGTGTTGGGCCCTCGCCATGGCTTCTTTCTGCCGTGTCTGTTTCTACAGTGCAAAACCTCATGGGTTTATTTTAAAACTTATCCTTCGCTCGCACTTTTGAATCCACGTGCTTACAATCACCAAAATGCACGAGTCTGCCCGGCACTCGGGCACCAAGATGCTTGTGTCCACGAGGCCTGTCAGGGGTGCTCTGTCAAGACGCGGAGCATAAGGGATGCAAGCTATTGTGTCCTCCTCGCGCTGCCCGCGTTCTTCTTAGGTTGGTAGCCTTATTGCTAGTTTTGGAAGTGCCGTTTTTACCCTTTGGGAGCTCGCTGTGATCAGCCTCCCCATCCCGCCCCACCTCTGAGAATCATTAGGTTTTATTCATTTTTCTTTGTCTCCCAGCCTGGGTGGGAGAAGAAGCTGCACGGAGCTGTACTGGGATCTTCGGGACCTGCTAAGCTAAGTGCCACACTCAGTAACCCTTCTGCTCTTCCTTCTGGCCCGCCGGTCTTTCCATGCTGCTGCGTTCCCGTCCATTCTCCACCCATACCCATCAGGTACGTGTGTGTGTGTGCGTGTGAGTACCGGCGCTGCACAAAGCGAACGATTTCCTATCAGGCAAAATTTGATCAGGTACCTATGCTTATTATCTAACAAACACGGGAACGAACCGCACTAACCCTGGAACGACCTTCATGTGTTGTATTTACATAAGTTTTTTTGTCGTCTTCCTAGTTCACATTGTAAAAATTAAGCAACGTTTTTCAGGCTAACTTAGAAAGTTTTGTGTTTTATTTCCAAGCAGAGATCTAATTTCTTTCAAAAACAGAATTCTTGCCCTAATGTGGGGAACAAAACTACACGAAGCAAACTAAACTTTTTACGGAGATGTGAAAATCGAAATGAATAAGGAGTGGAAAATTTTCTGTGCTAAATTAACTTTACGTAGCACAGAAGACTGCAAAGCCATCCTTGACTGCTGTCCATCCCCAAATGACAGAATGCAAAAAAGCAGAGCAGAACACAGAAGAACTGGTGTGTTACAGAAACATTAGACCCTTGAACATCTTTCCCTTAGCAACTTTTAGTGTAACCTTCCCCTCGATAAAGAAAAATCTTTCATGCCCTTCTGTTTCTGCTGAGAATAACTGGCAGGGCCACACATTACATGTGAAGTCCTGTGCCTTTCTGACTGCTTCGTCAGTATTCTGCTCCGTCACTTGCTCCTTTCAGAGCTATTTTAATATTGCAGGCTCTATAGCAGTTTCAAAGGTATGCTTTAAAATGTGGTAAGGACAAAAAAAAGCAAATCGGCTTATCACAAAAATGTTTTCTCCTTTCCGTCAGGTATGCCATTTCTTCCCCCATACATTCACCCACCCCATCCATCCTCTAAATTACTAGGACTTGGTGTCCGTGACAGGTCGTATCGAGCCTTGTCTGACAGTTTCTAGGTCCGCTCCTCTGCGGCTCGGTGGGATTGCAGGAGCTGCCCAAGACTGGCAGTCTTCCAGCAGGGACTTCCATTTATTTCTACATCTCTTATGTCCAGAGGGCTTTCCGATCATGGGGGTTTTATGCATAGAAAAATCAGCTCCAGGTATGTTTGTTTCAGAGATGCTTTTGAGCATTGGGTAGGTATTTTTTTTTTTACTGAACTCTGTTGATTTTTGATTCATAACCTGAGTTGGCAGGCAAAGGGCCCCAGTAACATGTTTAACCCTTCCTCTCAGTAATTTCTGAGAGGTTTCCTCTGTGATATGGAAGGCATACACAAAGCAGATGACGGTGCAGGCCAGTTTAATGGTCTCGCTTGTAGTACTCTGGGGTGGTCTACATAATTCGCTAGGGACCTCATCTCTCTTCTCCTAATGCAGCACTCACTTCTTCAGACTATTAAAGAGGTTCAAGCACGTGTTACCGTCCTTCCTTAAGCGCATTCTGTAGGCCTGATAGGACCTTTCAAACAAAAAGAGAATGAAGTTAAATCCCTTTGAGAAGTTGAATCTAGATTGGCAAAGTTGGTGCTGGCACAAAAGTGGTTAACATCCTCCTGCAGCAGAATGTCCTTGTCTCCCTGTGGATGTTGCCAGTGTGAATGGCGTCTGTTGGAGTGCACCGTCTCCTCCCCGGTGGCATATTGGCTGGGAAAGGCGGTACCTTCGCTGCCTGACAGCGAGGTGGTGATGAACTGCCTGGTTACTTCTACATCTGTCATCTGCATGATTTAATTAGGCTGGTCAGGTGAAGGTGCAACACGGTGGGATGCTCTGTCACGCTTCCGACGTCCCTTCTCCAGCGCCTGGCCTTGCTCACTCCCCATCGTTTCAAAAACTTCAGAGAAATCCTTCTCTGTTCAGCGGCTCTTTGTGTGTCTGAACATCTTGCAGAGCTCTTTGGGAAGCAGGTTTGGATGAGAAGGGGTTATCTGGTTAACCAGGGTTATTTCAAACTTCAGCCTGAAAATTTAAGCAGCTATGTAGTGGGGATGGGGCCATGTGTAAAGAAATGGTAACTAGAGGCATCTGGATCTGCCAGACAGCTTGGGATTAGCCACCATCCTGTCTTCTCTATCCCCCTGCTACTGTGTAAAGCATTTTCCGGTCAAGGGGATGGCCAGTGCGCTGGGAAAGGTGATGGCTATGGTTCATGCCTGCGGCTCTACAGGGCGAGGTGTATCTCACCCGTCCGTACTTGCAGAGCAGGTTGATTTGCAGATTGGTGGTCAAGAAAAGATCTAAAAACTACAGCCCTTAGATATAATGGCCCAGCACAGTTTTTCACAAAAGAAAGGAGTGGTTTCACGGTCCTTGGCCAGAGTTGCTGGACCCATTCCAGTGCTGCGTGTGTGATACCTTCCGCTCTTGAGTTGACTGCCTTTCTGAGGTACTGGCTGTGTATCGCAAAGCATGACATGAAGGTGGCTTTGTAGCAATGCTTTGTGCTCATTGCTCCCTCCTTCCACAGGAGAACGGCTGCTTTGCCTTTTGATGCGGTAATCAGGGGAGGTATCGAAGTGATGTAGCCAACGTCTTGCAGAAAGTCAACAGAGGCTACAAATCCATCCTGAGGTTTTTATACTGCCTTCCCCGACCGGAATGGAACTGTCTACAATGTAATGTCAAATTTAATGCCACTCT